TCTGCAGGAGAAGAGCAGCAGCACTTGAGAGACCACCAAGACATCGACAGTCAAAGCGCCCTTCATCAGATATGGTCTCATGTAGAATATGACAAAGGGAACTTTGGCTCTTGAAAGCTCATATTTGTTGGTCTCTAAGGTGTTACTAGACTCTAATAGAATCTGACAAAGGGAACTGTGGCTCTTGAAAGCACATACTTGTTGGTCTCTAAGGTGTTACTAGACTCCAATCTAACTTTAAGATCAATGTTTTAAAACCATGTCTTTCCAGTGTTCATCAGGCTTATCGTGCAGAGAACTCTTCAAGGTACACAAGGCACATCTGTTTCATATAAAATGATTGCCACATACCCCCAAACCCTCAAGATAGGCAGTGTTATAAATCCAATGAAATAAATACATGTGGTCATAACCCCCAGTTTACAGACTGGGGAAATGAGACTGAGATTCATTTACTAAAGATACTCTCCCCTCAGTAAGTCTGTAACTGAGATGCAACATGATTCAGGTACTCCCAGCTGAGTACTCTAACCACTAGACCATATCGACAGCCTGCTGTGGCAAACGGCTTCCCGTTTGAACAGCTGCTCTAAGTAAGGACTATTGTATATTTGGAGTGCACTGTACTTCATTCCGGACTGCAAAGGCTATGAGACTGGGGGGCAAATTCTATTCTAGTCCAGTACATTCTAGTTAATGTTTTCTATTTGCCGTAGAAGGAGTGCCATTCCATTAGCTGATCAGGGGACAAGTAAGTAACCATAGTAACCTTGAGTTTCCAGGACTTGGTGTGACAGGTTGATGGGATTACTCTTCATAGCGGTTGCTCCTTTGAGAAAAGGGGATCGAAGGAAAGAAGGTTTTTCAAAGTTAATTTAGCACACCCACCAGGACAAAGGTCAACAGTAGTGGGTTTCCTGTGCAGGGGACTCAGACAGCAGCCCCCTTCCCAATATTATTTGCACTCTCTTCACACAACAACCAACAGGGAGAAAGAACAGGAAATACAGTGCACTCCAAATGCTACATGTATAACAAGAAAAGAGTTGATGCCTCAGTGCTGCTGAGTCTGATATAGAGTTTGTTGCCCCACAAGAGATTTACTTCCTTTTGAAGGTTTCCAAATGCATGCCAGAGCAGAGGGAGGAAAAGGAGGAGGGACTGAGACATGGCTCAGACACCTCTGAGGCTCAGACAGTTCTTAGCTGCAGAGGGTTGTGGGCGATGCCTGTGAAAGCAACAGGCTGGCCTTGATCATTAGTCTTGCTTAGTCCCAAAGTCAAGATCAGGAAACGGAGAGGCCTTTCGGCAAAAGAGCAGACAGGCAGTAGCACTTCTGACTTGCTGCACCAACAAAATCTTTGCCCAACTCTTTCCTTCTGCTCATTCTGGAGAAGGGAAGAAAAAAGGTTGGGAGAGACACAGGTAAAGTCTCCAGGTTGGGATCTGGCAACCTCAGTGCGTGGAGGGAAGATGGAACAGTATAGCCCAATCTCATCAGATTTCAGAAGATAAGCTGGATTGGTACTTGAATGGGGGACCACCAAGGAAGACTGCAGAGGAAGGCAATGGCAAACCACCTCTGCTTCTCACTTGCCTTGAAAGCCCCTTGCTAGGGTTGTCATAAGTCGGTTGTGACTTTACAGCTCTTACATACCTAGTATCCCAGTGGAGCTGGTCTCCATGTTCCAGGTAATTATTCCCTTTAGCATCCTGTCTGATTCATCTGTGAATACTTATACAGGCATGCCCCTATAAATTCCTTTTGAAGAGGCCAGAAAGATCCCAAAAGACTCTCAGGGGTCTCTTAGGTCACCCAGAGCCCTGAACATAGAAAGCAGATGCATCTATTGTTAAACCATTATATCCCATTTCCATGTATACGCTGTAAGCCATGTTCACACAAGCACGATTTTTAGTTGTTTCACTCCAAAATAACTCCTACATAGCATAGGGAAACTTGGCTTCACAATCACACCTTGGATGGTGCTGATGATTCATTGGAAACATTTGTTTCTTACATGTGTGTTTTGTCCTTTCTCTAAGGATTGTAGGGGCACACAGAGAGCTCCCGGATGTTCTTTCATCCTGGTCCAATGAGTTTAATCTCACATGAAGAATTACTTTGGGTGGATGATGATCGTCTTGGTGGTAGGGGCTAAAGCAGACTCAGAGTCGCTTGCTTTTGGGTTGTTGTGACTCAGTATGCCGAATGAACATGGTTGGTTGTTCTCCATGAAGCCCCTTGCAGATATGTAGACAGTCCACATGGTTAAATAATTACCGCACTGTGCATTTTTCTGAATAGGGTAGAAGGATCGTGTCCATTAGCTCCACCCTATGCAAATCTTCGGCATAAGGTCTGTATACAGACCCAGAGACTAGGTTCCTGCCAAATTTTACATTGGTGGAAGGATTTCCACCCATACATCACAATTTCCTCATCTCATCACTTCTGCAGGAACTTTGGGACAGAGGAGGGTCAGAGGTCTACAGCAAGAGTGGGGAAATGAGATAAATCACCTTCTTTTTGTCAGTGTAAATTCTCCCTGAGATACAAACCTGCACCTGCACCTGCACGCCTCAAATGTCTAAAAAGGCTTTGTCTGCCCAATCATATTGTTTGCTATGGTCATTTCGTAGAAAAAGAGGTGCAGAGGCTCATTAGCATAACTTATTTGCATATGCCACACCCCCTGACATCACTGGAAGTGTGTCAGAAGGCAACACCCACCGCTCAGGCTCCACTGGACTGTTTTGGATTGCTAGCTATTGGGGAGGGGGGGAAATGTACAGATCTGTCCTTGCAGAGGAGGGAGAGCTTGTGCATGAATAAAACTTGGTCTTAAAGGTGCCACTGGACTGTTTTGGACGGGGGGGGGGGCGCTCTGCAACTTACCTGCCTGCTTCTTGCTCTGACTGAGAGCTGCTGGGAGCAGGGGATGGGGCTTGTTGCATGTGCCCACCCCCTGGGCTCTTTACTACTGGAGCTCCGTTCCTGTGTGCTCCTGCAGGAAATGACCCTTGGCTATCACACATATAGAGCCAATACGCTTGTGGTATGTGTATGCTGCATAGGCACTTTGTGTATAGCTATGATGCTCTGTGTATATATTATGCTTAGTGTCGAAGAGGTCAGTGCCAGTGAGCAGAATCCCTATATGTGCATTCATTTTACACAGAAGTAACAGCTACATCACGGTTAGGCCATCCTGACTCATATGGTGAGCAGCAGCCTGTCAGAATATTGTGCTTGGCACACGGGGCTGATTCTCTCCCCAAAAAGTTCAGACAAGCCTCTCAGGTGCCGGCAGCACAGGAAAACTCAATAGGCCTGCCGTATGCCTCTCACTGCTTCCTGGACCTCTGCAGCTGCCAAGGTGGATCCGAGGCAGACCTGTAAGGGGCTGGCAGTGCCCCTGAGGGTCCGCTGACTCCCATTGTGTCTGGCCAAGAACAACCTTAATGACTCCTCCACTCACACCTTTTCCAGCACCCATTTTCACAGGTATCTGTTACCTTTTGGCTCTGAAAGGCAGATCAACACAGTCCTCATTCTTGCATATAGGGACTGTCAAAAGAAAGGTAACAGCTACTTATGACAGCCCTCTGAAGGTATCTGAACAAGTGAGCAGTGACCTGCCCTGCCACATATTTTGTTAGTCTTTAAGGTGCTACTGGATTCATGCTGTTTTCTGCTGCTACAGACAGACTAACCCAGCTACCCATCTTGATCTGTGACAGCCAGGGTGGTGTAGTGGTTAGAGTGTCCAACTGGGCTGTGGAAGACCCGTGTTCAAATCTCCACTCTGCCATCAAAGCTCACTGAATGACCCTGGGGCCAACACATGCTTTCAGTCTAACCTGCCGCACAGGGTTGTTGTGAGGACAGTGAAGGAGAGAACAATGCAAGCCTCTTTGGGTCCTCCCCCGGGAGAAAGGCAAGGTACAAATGGATAAAAAGACATTAACTGCTGGATTATGCTACATACTGGCAACGGGCAGCTGTATGTGTGAAATAACTAATTTGGATACTGTTTGAAAATGATGGGAAGAAGTATATGTGATGTGAATCGTCACTGGATGTTGTCCTTACCGGGGATAAGCCTGTTGTAAATTGGACAGCAGCAGCATGGGTCACACAGCCATAGTTCGTGATGCAATTATGCAGTGTGACACAGTGGTAAGAGTGCTGGACTGGGGAGCCCTTGTTCAAATTTCCCCGACGTTATTTTGGGTGGCCTTGGGAAAGCCATTCTCTTCACCCTGGCCCGTTCGTGGTTTTGTACTCTCAGTGGATTTCGTACATTATTTCGGTGCCTCGAAGCTCAGTACCAACGTTTTAATAATAACTAGCACAGACGCCTCAGGCCAGGCCTTAAAGGTGGGAAAGGGGCAGCCAGATCTATTTCACGCTGCTTGGAGGCCAACAGCGATGAAGCGCCAAGAAGCCTCCTTTCCCCCCAAGCGGCGAGATCCGGCTCGCCACAGTCAGGAACGATCACGGCTTGCCAAGCCCCCCCGCCCGTCGCCGGCTCCAGTCAGCCAGGAAGCCGGCTCAGAGCCGCAGCCCCACCAGCCGCTTTGTGGAGCCGGTGCTAGCGCGCTGGGAAGCCGGCGCCCCCGCGCCCCCCGCCGCTCCTGCCCACCCCGCTCAGCGCCGCCGCCGCCGCCCGCCCCGCTTGGCCGCCAGCCGGGCACCGAGCAACTTTCCCACGGCCGCCCGGCCACGCGTGTGGCTCCGCAGGCTCCCAACTGGCCCCGAGCCCAGCCAATCGCGCGAGCGCGGCGAGACAGCGAGGAAAGGGGGGGAGCGCTTCGAGCTCGGCCGGGTTTCCAAATTTGAGACTCTCCAGCCAATTGGAAGCAGGGGGAAGAAAGGGCGTGTCATCGAGGCGTCTCATGGCTGGCGGCTATTGGTCAACCATGGCCGATGCTCAGCCAACCAGAGGTGTGTGGGCAGTAAAGGGCTACACGGCGTTGTATGTGGCCGGGAGCGCTTGGCGCGGCTCCCTCCCCCTCCCCCGGCTAAGAGGCGAAGCGTGGGAACGGGATGGGGGAGACGCAGCCAGAGGGCGAGCGGCGGCGGCGCGATCATTGAGCTGGCACCGGGGGAATCGCCACCCAACCATCCGCTCACACAGGCAGGCAGGCAGAGCCTTCCCTTGCTGGCAGCATGAAGCGTGCACACCCAGAGTACAGTTCTTCCGACAGCGAGGAGCTGGATGAGCCCATCGAAGTGGAGAAGGAGAGCGCGGACGAGAATGGGTGAGGGCGCCGCCGGGGAATAGAGGCGCGTCGTCGCCTGTGGTTGGCGGGGCGGTGGGTTCGCTGGAGCAGTGCGGGATTTCGTTCTGAGTGTGACGGCCCCGCCCCCCCGGGGCCCCCCCCCCCCCAGTGGCAATGCAACGGAGACCCCAATCCTGGAGGTTCGTGACTTGGGACAACTTAGGGCCCCCATCGGTGACATTTGCTTCTGAGTAAACAAGGTTTAGGATTGCCCAGCAAGTTCCAGTAGCTCTGAGACTGGCTGCTGGAGTCTACACAGTCGTGCTGGATCCAGATCCAAAAAAACAAACCGCAATCCACGTAATTAATACCTTTTAGTAGGACCAGTCAAAATGACACAAAACTGTCTGTAGGGAGCAGGTTCCGTTGAGCTCGGCCAGCTGACTTCCGAGGCAATGTGCTAATGGCCAAGATCAAAGGTGGCGAGGTTAGGCACGGTCGCCAGGGGTGACACATTCTTAGGCGGCAATCTGATCCGACTTTATTTGGGAATAATTCTTGTTGAATAAAATGGGGTGTAAGTCTGAGTAAACTTGCATAGGATTGTGCTCTTAGAACTCTTCCTTCTTCCCTTGCATCTTGGCTCTGAGTGGCCCCTCTTAATGGCTGCCCTCCACCCTCCTTTTTTCCCTGTAAGTAACCCTAGAGGAGATTTTATTCCAATTTGTCTGAAGAAGTGTGCTTTGCACACGAAAGCCTACATTTTGAATAAACCCTTGTTGTTCTTAAAGGTACCACTGGACTCAAACTTTGCTCTTTTTCCTTCTCCCCTGTAATCAGAAGACTGTGAGCTCTGATTGTGGTTACTAGGTGATGAAATACAGGCGTTCTGCATGTGCTCAAGGCATTTAGCCTGGTTCCTATTTCTGTTTCCAAGAGCTAAGACTTTCACACAGTTTCTTGGGAGAAAGCCCATAGAAAGCATAGGAGCAAATATGCAAGAGGCTGGGCCTTGGTGTGCAGAAGAAGCGTCTAAGTGTGCATTAAGTTCGGTACTAGGATACCTGGAAACAAATGGAAATTGAAGCACCTGTTCTCTGTTTTTCCTTGCCTACATGTTTTAGCAATTCTTAGCCAAACTGTTTTCTACCTCCCATCCTCTTCCTGTCCAGATTTGCATTAACGCCTTCTTACTTTCTTGCTGATTTCAGAAACTTTAGTTCAGCTCCAGGGTCAATGTCCCCAACCACCACTTCCCAGATCCTGGCAAGGAAAAGACGCCGAGGTGTAAGTCTCCCTTTCCTGATTTTTCTCTGCTTAAAACGCCTTCCTTCTTAGAATGCCCCTCTCAAAAATTTTCTCTTGTCCTTTCAGATTATTGAGAAGCGTCGTCGTGATCGGATCAACAACAGCCTATCAGAACTGAGGAGGCTGGTGCCCAGTGCATTTGAAAAGCAGGTAACTTGTTGGCAGCTGGGAGAAGACTGAAGCCCACACAGCTTAGCCAGAAATGTGCCTTTCCTGGGCAGCCGTCTCCCCTGGCTTTTGTTCAGCAACCTTGTTTGCTGATAGTTGTCTCTTCTTCCTTAGGGATCTGCCAAATTGGAAAAGGCTGAAATCCTGCAGATGACTGTGGATCATCTGAAAATGTTGCACACTGCAGGAGGCAAAGGTAAAGATCCTTCCTTGCACAGGAAGCAGCAATCCATAATGTGTGAGGCTTGAATAGAAAATCCTGGTCAATTATACCAATTGGTGGAGGTTTTGGTGTGCTTCTTAGTGAAGGGAAATAATAGCTACCATGGAGAGAGCGAGCCCAGGAGCCACTGAATTGTGAGCATCAACTGCCATGCAGCCTGCACCTATTAACATTTACTCAGAAGTAAGTCTCACATACCCACTGGGACCTAGCCCCAGGTAAAGGTGCTGAGGATTGCTTTCTTTAGGCTGCATATCCACAGCTTGCTAAACAGCCTTATTAACTTTAAGTATTGCCTTTTAATAGATCAGCTTTGGCATCAGGGTTGTGGGTTTCGGCTAATGTAACAACTGTGTTAAATTAATAATAATAATGGTATGCCATGGCAATAAGAGAGCAGACGCCGATATGAACAGCAGTAATTTCTTTGGTTTAATATGCTGTTTACTGATGCATGCTTGCCGTAATCTATTTACTGATGCTCAGTAGCTGCAAATCATAGGCTGCAATTCATAACCCATTAACTATAGAGTAGTCCTATGAAAAAAAATCAGTGACGCTGCCCAGAGTAGCTGCATTGTAGTCAAAAGGTAATCTTCTCAGTTGAGGCTAATGCGGCTGTTCACTGAATGACGGGGTGGTAGTTTCTCAAACTTGCATAGGTTTGTTTGTATGAAACCACGCTCGTGGTTGTGGATGTTTATATCTCATGAATGCGCATTTCGTGTCCCGATTGCAGGCCAGGCAGGGATCAGAGTGGTGCCCCGGCTTGATCCCACACTTCCTATTATCTGCTATAGTAACCGTCAGTGTGGAGTTGCTCTGGTCTAGCTCAATGATTCCAGTAGGCTTAGACTGCCGTGACTCTGCATAGGATTGACTGCAAGGGATTGAGCTACAAAACAGGAAGTTCCTGTTTTGAATACAGTCTCTGCCATGAATTCAGTAGGCCTTCCTCAGCCTCTGCCCCGTGTGCAATTTAGGGATGACAATATTGACCAGCCTTTCGGGTGTTATTGTCAGGATGGTAATGAAAACAATATATTTGAAGAACACTGAACATTAGATAAATGGGAAGTGTTATTACTCTGTCCCTTACTAATGGCCACAAGGGTGATATATCTGAAGGGCATTTTCCCTGAATGTTCAGATTGCTTCACACATTTTTTCCACAGCTTTCCTATCCACAAGCCTGAAAAGCAGCCTAGTAGTATTCTCCCTGTGTTACCAATGTGGTGTGGAGGGTAAAAGAGAACTACCTGGCCAGTAAGGTTGCATTGCTAGTCTGAAATTTAAACTGGGACTTTCTGTGTGAGTGGTATTAGTATCTTCAAAGATGTAGAAATAAAAAGTGAGACTGCCAAGAGACAAGATCCTTCTATAGAACAGTGGATTTAAAATAGGAAGAGTAAGGGTGTGTGTGTGTGTTAAGAATGTTCTCTGTGTGGCTCCCCCCAGGACACTTTTATTAATGAAATATGGTCTATTTCTGTTTTTTCCTTTGTAGGTTTTGGGTATAGTTTCATGTGAGGGACATGAATCAACATGGAGTTAAGTGTGTTTAAGCCAGGTTATTTCAGTATAAGGTGGCCTAATCAATACTTGTATTAGTCAAGTGTACCGGGTAAAAATTTCTCTGAAGTAAATGAAAATGGTTCTGTAGAACATCTGGGTACTTGTGCACCTTCAATTCATTTGCCTGGGGCCAGAATAGAAGTTCATGGTCAATTATACCAATCACTGTGTTTCAGATGTGCTTCTTGGTTAACGGGGAATGATAGCGACCTCTTAAGGAAATATGCTGGGGAAGCCTTATTGGGATAGATGATCTACAGACTACAACTGGAAATAGGTCCTGTCCTAAGACAACATTCTTTGTTCCTTTCTCCTAGGCTATTTTGATGCCCATGCTCTGGCTATGGACTATCGGAGTCTAGGCTTTCGAGAGTGCTTGGCTGAAGTAGCCCGCTACCTTAGCATTATTGAGGGTCTGGACTCTTCTGACCCTCTTCGTGTGCGCCTCGTGTCTCATCTGAATAATTATGCCTCTCAGCGGGAAGCAGCAAGTAGTTCGCACACCGGGCTTGGACACATTCCTTGGGGCAGTGCCTTTGGACATCACCCACACATTTCCCACCCGTTACTGCTGCCTCAGAATGGGCACACGACTACTAATGGAGCAGCGACATCCACAGACGCCCATCACCAGAGCAGAATTGCTGCCCCTCATGCTGAATCATCTTCACTGAGAGTGCCCCCTAATGGCAGCATTGGACCAGTGCTTCCTGTAGTCACCGCGGCTTCTAAACTCTCTCCTCCCTTGCTCTCTTCTATGGCCTCCTTGTCTGCGTTCCCCTTTTCTTTCAGTTCGTTCCACTTGTTGTCCCCTAATGCCCTCAGTTCGTCTGCACCAGCACAGTCGGCCAGCCTTGGCAAACCCTACAGACCATGGGGAACTGAAATCGGGGCCTTTTAAGAACTAGCGAAGGGCAGAGAGAAGTGTAAATATCCAGCTGAGCTGGGGAGTTTTCGATGTCTGTTTTAAAACTCTTTAATAGGTTGAGATGAAAGGTACAGTTTCAGTTTTAACAAACGTTATACAAAAAGAGTGCCCCCCCCTACTTAAACTCTGTATTAGTAGTCTCTTAAAATAGTTGCTGAAAGTTTATCCAAATTTTTAAAGCACTCCAGAAGTTACTTTTGGAATAGAATTCTGCTGAATATTTCATTTATTTTTAAATGGAATTTTTTTGACTCCATTTTTCTGAGAACACTGGATCTCTTTATTTTTTAAAAATGTAGATTTTAGCATTTTATTACTTTCTTAGCTTTTCAAAACCACTTTTTTTTGCAGCTATAACACACCATTTTTGTTGTTAGTATATGATATTGAAACGTTCTGTAAGGAGAGAATCATTTATAAACTTATGTTCTGATTTTTATATTTCTGAGCAAAAGCGTTGACAAATCATGTGGACCAAAAAATTTTTTTTGACTGCTGCATCTGGACAGTCTGCCTTATGGGTTTTTTCTGTCCCCGAAGAAGGATATGCCATAACTTAAAAAGAAATATTCTGTGTCAAATGGTGATTCCTCTCCCCTACCCCAGCAACTTTCCACAAGAAAGGTTACAGACTAAGGTCCTGATCTTGAAAGCCCTTATGTGCTTCTCCATGTTTTTAATGTTAGAGCTTTGGTGTGTGTTATGTTAGATTTTAGGGTGGCAAGTACATGTCTGCTTATTTCTGCATTATACAGGCCATGCCTTTGGTCTAGTTGTTGGATACATCTTCATTGGAACTTGCCCTAGGCAGGGGTCGTTTCGTAGAAAAAGAGCTAGGGGATCTCATTAGCGTAACTCATTAGCATATGCCACACCCCCTGACATCACTGGAAGTGTGTCATAAGGCCACACCCCTTGACATCACTGGAAGTGTGTCATAAGGCCACACACCCCGCCCACAACGGTCCCGGCCGCCGCTGGCGGCCTTGCAGCTCCACTGCCGAGCCCCATGAGGGGCCCAGCGGTGGACCTGCAAGGCCGGCAGGAAGGCAAGGAAGCCCCGCGAAGGCCCTCCCTGGCCCCAGGCAGGCAGGGGTGGGGAGAGGCAGGGAGGAAGCAACTTACCCTCCCTCTTCTCCTGCCTCCTCCTGGCTGAATGAGGGCCGGAAGCGGGGCGGCTGGTAGCAGGGGGCGGGGCTTCATCATGTGCCCCGCCCCCCGTACCTCACCCGGGGGAACTGTGATCCCCCGCAATCCCCCCGAAATGACCTCTGGCCCTAGGAAAGATTGTGTGGTTTCAACCCTGAGAAGACCTGTTTGATCAGTAAAGTAGGACATTACCAGTACTAAGCAGATTTATACCCTTCTAAGTCCATCCGTGGGCTTAGTGTAGGGATGCCAGGCCTCCCAGCAACCAAGCTTGTTGTTTGCTGGCGCTTCAGGCACTGGTGGTAGGAAATGTGGGGAGGAGTGTACATCAGTACGCTCACCTCAATTCCAGTAAAAACCAGAAGTGCTACAGTAGATGCTCTAGCATTTTATGAGCACTCTATGGTAAAACCATGTCAGTTTTGTAAATATTAAAGCATCTGCATACTGATGTTGGCACACCAGAATCTGTCTCCCTGTTCTTCCTAGGGGTTGCCAACTGTGGACTGGTAACCATAGCTTAGGAGGCTGTACTGTTAAGTTTCCTGCTTAATGGGTGAACTTGAGCCTCATCAGCATTCTTCAGATTGCGGCCTGGTCATCCTGTTTTTAGAACCGTTTATTATGGGAAGCTGCAAGGCCACAATGGTGTTGTAATTGAGAAACTGGTCACAAACAGAATTTGATGGCAACTGAGAACAGAAGAAGAAGAAGAGATTGGATTTATATCCCAGCCTTCACTCGGAGTCTCAGAGCAGTTTACAAACTCCTTTCCCTTCCCCTCCCCACAACAGACACCCTGTGAGGTAGGAGGGGCTGAGAGAGCTCTTTCGAGAACTGCTCTTTCAAGAACAGCTCTGGCAGAACTATGGCTTGCCCACGGTCATCCAGCAGCTGCATGTGGAGGAGTGGGGAATCAAACCCGGTTCTCTCAGATTAGAATCCGTGCACGTAACCACTACACCAAACTGGCTCTCGAACAGGTTTCATCATAGCAGGGGGGAAAATGAAAAGATGTGAACTAGGAGAAACTGGAGGACTTCCAGCAGCTAAATGCAGCTGGGGTCCTCACTTAGCACAAGGGGATCTCTGTAATTCACCCCAGTCATGTTTCTTGTATGTTCTATGGCCACACATCTTGTATGTTCTATGGCTTACTAATATTTTCTTTAGTGCTTTTCAGGAACTAGCACAGGACAGAGAGGTCTATAAATATCCAGCTGAGCTGGGGAGTTTCCTGAAAGAAAAGAAAAAGGAAGAAATGACTAATTTTGCATTTAAAAGTAAAACCAAAACTGAGTCATTCCAACATTCTTCTTTGCCTAAATCTGGACTATTTATCTCTCTTGTATAATACAACTTGCATTGCAGTATTTGGGATCTTATAGTGCAGAATCCTGAGACACACCCGCCACCGGCACCCACTGGTAGATTGACAAACATCTACAAACACAGATGAGACCTGTTATTTTAATGACAAGTTCCAGAGAAGTAGCTGCATCAAGGTGTTGCAATCAATGCACCATAGAGTGTTGTGGTGCTTTAAGGCTAACAAATTCAAAAGGTTAGGCACGGGCTCAGTACAGCCTGGAAATGGCCAGCTCAGTACAGAAGGTCTCTCCTGGTAGGATACTCTACACTTTTCATCTTGCTTTGTCAGTTCATGATTTGTTGGGAATGGGCCACTCTAATTCTAATTAGATTGCTTGCTCTCTGATGGGATCTTGGTTTCATTTGTGTTTTTGGACAGAACTCTTCAGAATTGCAGGGTCTTTCAGCCTAGCTTTGTAATACTCTACCCCTGTACCCTTTTTTCATGTTGTACCCATGTATATATTTCTGCGAAGTAGCTGATGATTGTACTTCATGCATCTAAAGAAGTGGTCTCTGACATATGAAAGCTTATGCCACAATACATTTATTAGAGTGCCACCTGGTTTATTTTAATACACATACTTATCATGCAGGCAGTACTTACTGACTCTTTCCCTTTACTTCCATTCAGGGTAACATGAAGGGAATTCCTCAGTTTGAAAAGGTCTATTTTGTATACTTTTTGGGTTGGTTTCTTAAGAATCAGTTCTGCATAGGTTTGTTCCACAATGGCTACACTGAAGTGGCTTCCCCCAAATTGGACTTCTGTATTTGTGTTGTGCCTAAATAAATGGATAAGAACAACAAATGTTGAATGGTAGATCTCTCTAGCTAGGCAGGAGGGAAAGTAGTTTTCAAAAGGTTATGCTTTAGACTATCAGGGTTTTTTTTTGTGTGTTGCCTTAAATGTAATGCTTTTCAGTAAATGCATCTTGCTACAATTTACTGTTCCCCCCCCCCCAGTACTGTTCTCTGATGCATGTCTTGTAAAGCTGTATTTCAAAAGGAGCATTAGGAATCCATTTAACATTTATTTGAATTACCTGCAGGAGATAAGTGTGTTTGAAGCCTGAAAAGATAAACAACTTTCATTATTTGGGTTTTAAAACAGCCTCATCAGAGCAGAAATAGTACTGATAAACCATAGGTGCTAACTTATAAGTCTTCTCCAGGGACAATCACCAAACTGCTCCTTTGACATTTAAAAGTTGCAGAAAATAAATCCAAGATGCACAGTTGTGGTGTTATAGCTTTATTATATTAAAAAAGCAGTCATCTGCCGAATTTTTTTCTGTTATTAAAGAAGGCTCCTGTGCCTTTAAAAGAGTATGAGAAGGAAATCAAGGAGAATTCTATACATTGTCCAAGGTATAGTTCTTCCAACTGTAGTTTTTTTTTTTTGTAATCTGCCCAGTAAAACGAATTTCTAACCTGGTTAGAATTCCATTCCATTACAAAAAATATTGCAGGTGGGATGAGTTTGATGTGCATTTAGCTTGAAAAGATAATGCTGCCTTTTGCCATGTCAGCACTGATTCTTCAAGTTCATATTGTTTACTGATGGTGGCTGTCCAGATCTGAGATAGAGATAGTGTTATTTCACTACACTTGCTCCATTGAGACCTTTTAACTGGAGATGTTGGGGACCGAACCAGGGACCTTCTGCTAGTAGAGTAGATGCTTGGCCACTGAACCACAGTTACTTACTAAGCTGGTTCAAGCCTGAGTGTCCCTCCAGCTTTGCAATGTGTCTTGTTGACTTTCCTACCATGATTTATGTGGGAGAGCTGTAGAAGAGAAGGTTTCTGCATCTGATGAGGAAAACTCAAAGTGCGTGTGACATTATCATGCCTACTCTGTGCTGTTCATGGTGACAAACGTGAGCTCAGTTCTCCACCACTGTTACTTCTGTGCAATGCTATCCAGCAGATCTTTTCTGTGTTGTGAGGGAGCTCTTATCCCAGACCAGAAAATATACAGGCCCACTGTGATTTTTTGTGTGATGCATTTTGCAGATAAAATCACCTCCGCCATGAATTAAATTCTACAGTTGGTGAAATTCATCTTAGGGTGCTACTGGAGTACAGTCTAGTCTTAGTTGTATGAATGACCTTTTGTTGGTGAGGCCTAATGAAGTGGACAAGCTGCTCAGAAGTGTCCAGCCTACCAAATCTAGACTCTTGCCCTTCATTGCTGTTGGTATCGATTTGGGCTATATTGGCTGAATGGATCTGGGAGGTAATAAACATTTCCCAAGTTGAAAGAAGTGGCTGTATGATCTCTCCTGAAGAAGGAATCCCTGGACCCCACTAACCTGAACAACTGCTGCCCAGTGGCCAACATTCCATCTTTTACATAAGAACATAAGAGACACCAATGTTGGATCAGGCCAAAGGCCCATCCAGTCCAACACTCTGTGTCACACAGTGGCCAGAAATACCAGGTGCCATCAGGAGGTCCACCAGTGGGGCCAGGACATTAGAAGCGCTCCCACTGATGGACCTCTGCTCCATATGCTTATCTAATTCCCTTTTGAAGCTGTCCATGCTTGTAGCCTCCACCACTTCCTGTGGCAGTGAATTCCATG